GGCCTGGCGGGAGAAGCGGGCCGCCCTGCTCCTCGGGGCGGGGGCCGGCGGCGGGCTGGCCGAGGGGCTGGCGGGGAAGCTCTGCAGGGGGCTGTCGTCGGGGGTCAGGTCTGAGGGCGTGGTACCTTTGCGGTACAGCTCGGGGCTCTCCTGCGGCAGGGGCGTCCCGGTGGAGAGCACCTCCATGTCGTCGCTGGAGAGCTGGTGCTTCGGCCGCTGGTACTCGAGCCCTGGGGGCAGGAGGCCCAGGGGCTCAGTCCCGGCAGGAGAGCCCCGCCCCGACTGCAGGACACAGGGCGAGCCCGTCACAGGCTCACCCCAGCAGGCGTCCACGCCTGGCCGGGGGAGGGGCCGGCGGTGATCCCCGCCCCTGCCCCTGAAGCTGGGCTGGGGCCGCAGCACCAGGATGGCCGCCGACCTGGCCACTTGGGTCTCCCCGAGCTGCGCGGTGTGGGATGGTGCTCGGGTTCCCCAGGGGCCTGGGGGGGGAGCGTGAGGCCAGCTAGTGGGGAGCAGGCAGCCACGAGCACCCTGGGCCCTCGAGCGCCCCACAGCCTGGGCCCTCGAGCGGGGGCGGGGTTTCCGTGCCGCGCCGCGCGGGAGCCCCCACGGCCTCTGGGCTCACGCCCCAGCCAGTGGCCCCAGTTCCACCCAGCAGAGCCCCAGCGCTCCGGGTTCCGTGACCACCGGTGGCGGCCTGGCCGCGCCTTCCTCCGGGGGCTTGCGTGTGCCGAGGGGGGCCGCGCGGGCCCTGGCGCGGACTCACCGTTTTCCCTGTGCTGGAAGGAAGGGGAGAACTCTTTGGCAGTGATCCTGGCGACCCGCGCTTCCTCCTGGGCCTTCTGGGCCGCGGTGAGGGCGGCCTCGGCCTTGGCCCGGGAGTGGGAGGTCCTGTGGAGACAGCGGCGGTGAGGGCGGGGCCTGCGGCATCTGGGGTCCCTCTGCGCCGCCGTGGCCAGCAGGCCGAGCGCCGAGCGCCTGGCCCCCGCCTGAAGCCCCCCGCTGGCCTGCTGCTGGCTGCTCCCCTGCCCAGGAGGCACCACCCTGCCCCCACA